TTGCAGATTTTTAGTTTTAATAACATTGATGGCATACAACCTTAGGTACTTTAGTTTATATATATATTTGACATAAATCGAAGGTTAATTTGTTATTTTTTTGGTGATAAATTTGCAATTTCATGCATTAATGCACAAATAAATAACAAATTTGTCATCAAAATAGGAAAATAATTGAAAATATCATTGGAAACCATTCGCAAGAAAATGACAGCTAAATTATTTCTTTGATTTTAAATAAAAGTGACTAATTATATAATTTGAAATATTTATACCTACAAAATTAAATCCTTTTAATAATAAATAAGTGTTTGGAATATCCATGTCAATTTTCTCATTTTCAATATAAGGTTTCCACATTTAAACAAAGTCTATGCACATGGTTCGTTTGACTAGGAACCATTATCTTTTAAGAACTTTTGAAATAATTATACGTTAATTCAAAAAAGATTCCCCTTATTTTTAACAGTGTATAATATGCACATGCCATTGTTCTTCCCAAGTTCCTGTGCCACTGGGTTTTTTCTGCGGAAGCCGAGTCAGCCAAGAGTAAAGAAATCAATTAAGTGGGCTATCAGGTCAGCGGGAAGAGCGACAAAGACTAAAGGGGATGAACGATGGGTGATGGGCGGTGGGTGGAGGTCGATAGGATGTGGTATGTGGGCGGGACAATTGCGGGTGCGATGGCGATAGATAATAATGAACGATAAGTGTTAGAGTTGCCGCCTCCCATCAGTCACCGCCCATCCGCCTTACGTCGTCCAACTGTCTGAGGGAATCCTTGAGCCGTTTCGAGAGCTTTGTTTGACATCCTCCCTTCCGTTCAGCCACTCTCCACTCTCCACTCTCCACACTCCACCCACTTCCTTCCGTCTGCGCGCACTCCATTTGTTGACTTCGGGCTGAGTGCATGTGTAAATTTAGCCAACATTTTAAGTGTCAACTTGCTATGACAACTATAGTACATAGTTGGGCGTCCCGCCTCGCCCAGGAGTTCGTTCGTCCTCCCAGTGATTAATGGTGCCGGCAAAAGATACTTTGGTATTTTGCTAGAAACTACATACAAACTACTCTGCTCCCGATTCTTGGGAGTGTCGATTCTTGAGAAATTGCCCCAAGGAAAAAGTCGGCATGCACATTTGCTTTTCGAATGATTTATATCAGACAGAATGCGTAATGAGCGGAAACATATTTCCGAGGAAGTACAATTACCGACATCTTGATTAATTTTGGCAGGCTTAAAGAGATGGCGCTAGTCTATTTTTAAGGGTGAAAGTTTTGCTTATAGGAGTTCCCTTATAATAATTACTTTTCCCAAAGCTACGTATTCCTCTGTCTTTCTGCGCCGCATTCAGAATGAATACGAAACTGCTACGCAAAATAGCAACTGTGATTAATCGTTGGCCGCCTTCTGCCACATATCTCTGCCACAGCGTGGGTGTGACGGAGTGAAATTATTTTTGGCCAAGCGGAAAAGTCTAGTTAACAGAATATTACGCATTACATCAGCGCCCAAAAGTAGTAGACATGAATGCATGCCTGCCAAGGAATTCAAGTACAAGGTGAGCTAACTTCCTGGAAGCGAATTCCTAATACGATTAAAGTCCCTTGTCATACAAACACACACCGTCGGTTAATAATCTTCTTATGGAAATGATTAATTTTCCATTTACACGCAAATTTAATTCAGAACCTAAATGGCAGAAAATTTGTTGCAATTGATTTTTGAAAGAATAAACCTGAAAAACCTCAAACTGAGGTTTCAAATTTCAATGACCTGAAAACATGGCAAAGGTTTCATTTCGCTTTGATCGTTGCAAAAACAAAAAATGGAAAAAAAAAATCATAAATAAATAAAACGTACAAAAATTAAATCAAATTGCGTGCTTAAGCTGCCAGAGTAAATAAAAATACCGAGCGACCGCACCTGTCTTAGCTTTATATTCTCTTTTTTTTCCTTTTTTCCATACACCCATACCCCCGTATAACGTTATAACCAGTACGGCCGGGATTTCCCGTTCCGCCATTTCCCAGGTGGCCGCTTGTCGCTGACATGTGAAAGATATTTTAAAGCAAATATTTGCGCAGTGTTTGCGGTGCCTTGGATTGTGTTTTATTTTACTTTTTCCTCCGCGATTCTCCTCTTTTTTTTCGTGCCCCATAGGCAGTCAGGGATTCACTTACATTCACAGAACGAGAATGGAGAAAATCAGGGGCTGACGTGGCGTATGCGTGATGGGATGTGCACACCGCTGCGGGGGTTCACTGCGAAAACCAGCAGATTACGCTCCAGATAAGCAATTCGCCAAGGGAAAGGCGGCGGATGAGCAATGAGCATGCGATTAGTTGCACTTATCCCCCGGGCCACTGGAAATTGAGTAGAGTGATCCGATTGAGGACCTTAACTTGATTGCCAAAAAAAACTGTTTTTCCCGACAAAGGATAAAGAGAAAAAAGTGCTCAAGTGCCCATTAAAATATTACCCAAATTAAACACTTGAAACCTTCGTGGCTTCTACAATATTAAGTATACGCCCCAGACACCTTAAAGTCCTGGCATTTGCTTATTTATTGACTCTGACAGGGCGGCAAACAGCCGAAATTGACCCACATAGTCGGTTTATGTATTTCAATGAAGTGACAGACAAACAGTAGGCGTTCTTTCTTGCCTCCTTAGGTTTCCAGGTTTCCATTTTTTCGCTACCTTTCGCTGTTTTACGACTTAATGACTCCACCGGGATTAATATGACTAATGGTGCTCCGCTTTTTATTCGATACCTGCCGGCCCAGCTCCTATATACATACATACCCATATCCTATCCTGGCAGGACTATAGCTTTTGTGCAATTCATGTCCAAATGGTGCGCACGAGAAGGGACAAAATAATAATTATGGTCTCGGGGCTTGACTTTGAGTTTGTAATGTGCTGACATGCTATTTTTTGCTCTGGAAAAATTTCACATTAATTATACGATTGGCAGATACCCTAGAAAGAGGGATTTTGGACAGAAATAAAAGAAAATTATGGGTTTTTTGGGGAGTGAGTTAGCCGTTAAGGATACTATCATAAAATTAATTGGGAAAGCTTAAATAAAAGAAATTAAAATTTTGAAAGTTACCAGTTCTCTTAAAGTAACTTTTAAACAAAATTTAACATAGTTTTCGATACATTATTTACTTAAATTTGAAACTTATAAAATAGACACTTTAAATTGTACAATTTATCCCAATAATGTGTTCCATTTTCTGACTAATCTATAAATATATATTGTAGCTGTTGGAAATTTAAACACTCCACCCCGTCCACACTCGGAGACACTCGACACGCAGCCGCCCTTTTGGCCACGTACGAGTGGCTATTGAAGTGGCCGTTTGGCTGTCATTAGCCGGCTGCAGTGGCCCATAAAACAACAACAACTACCAAGAAACAACAACCAACAACAACAAGCCAGGAACAACATGGCAAACAAACAGTTTATCAAGGCGACCGACCGCCTGGACGAAGTCGGCAAGGGTCAGCTTGAAGTGGGAGCCCCACTTATCTGGTGGCATGCATCAGTCAGTTAGTCAGTTAGTCATTCACTCAGTCAGTCTCTCAGTCCGTCAGTCAGGAAAATTAATTAACAACAACATTGACACTTGAACATTTGACAGAACGTGCAGACAGCTGGCCGGGTCGAAAGTTTTTGGGCGGGGAAGGGTGGCGGTTAGCCTGCTCTTGTAGAGTCAACAAGGTGTTGTCAAGTTGAGGTCCTTTTCCGAAAGTTGCTCGATTTGCTCCTCGATTTCCCCTCTCACTCAATATCTATATTGTTTTGCGATGTTTTGCCTGATGTTGTGTTGTTATGCTGGTACTCCTGGTACTCTTGGCTTGTTCGTCCGGCTGACCGTGGGGTGTGGGTGACTTCTAAAATAGCACACTCCAGACCATCCTTAGTTATGCTTCTGTGGCCTGGGAATTGTGTTATTCCTTTGTTTTCCAAATAAATTTCATTTTAGTACTGTTTTGGGGGCACAGAAATCCTCCTTCACATACCACTGCTTGTGGTTCCTTCGGTTTCATGGTCTGTTTTGAATTTTGTGGGTTTTACCTCCGGCTAGTATGGGGTTTGGGCCTCTGTCCTGGCGTGAAATATGTCTCAATTAATTATCCATGTTTGTGACATACGAAAACGCAGAATTGATTTGATTTCTGTTATAGTTGCTTATCAGTATCGATTCCGTTTATTCAAAGTCCCTTTCTGCCCCAGGGCTGCCCTTGCTCGCTTGCTTGCTACAAATCAAATGCAATTTTGCCGACCAATCGTCCGAGTAGAGAAATCGGTAAATCGAGTAACCGACTGTGGGCGGAGAACTGGATAATTTATGGCGGCCCATTAATTATTAGCCATGGAGCTGTGTTATGACTTATTGACTGAAAGCCAAATGGGGTTAACCTGGTTGGGCCAACGCGTTCGAAATCCGGCCACGTCTGTTCTGTTTGGCATTGAAAATAAAAAACTACAATTAGACATTACACATATTGTGGAAGTGGCTTAAATATGCGTATTTATTGAATGAGATTTTTAAAGATGAATCAGTAGGATGATAATTACCAGATTTGTACATAAATACGCTGTCTTGGATAAATACTGGATTTCATAACACTTTTGTTCAAGTTTAAATTGGTCGAGGAACTCTTAAAAACTGTTTAGTGATGATTAGCGTCTTTAATTTAAAATTCAAACTTCATTTTCACTTGTGATTTAGTGTCGGAGAGAGTACCACAAATCTATAGTAAAGATATGCCCTATTACAAAGTTTTTTAAGCCTAAAACCTGATTGCCAATTCTTACCTGTAATGCCTGTTGAAATAGTATGTGCCCTAATTACGCAATTTTCTTTTTCTCTCTTCCAGCACTTACTTCCGGCAATTTTGTGCCATAAAATGTTTGCCACCAATATCCGCCGCTTGCTTGCCACTGACATTGACGTTGCCGCTAGCCCTACTGAGCCCTGAGCTCCTTTGGCAGCTCTTGCTCTCTAGCAGCTGCTCACCGATTTTATTTCCGGTTGTGCCGTTTCCGCCATTTTACATTTGCAATTCGAATTGGCGCGGTAGGACTTTTCGAGTCCTTTTTGGTTTATTTTTCCGTTGCATATGCGTGGGCTAATTAGCATGCGGCGGCATTTCCAGCAACATCGACAGCAACTGCAACAGAAATTGCAGCATCAAAACGACAAGTAGAGAACATACAATAGGAATAATAACCCGGAATGGAAGAGGATGTGTATGCATCGATAGGTTCCTACAACGACAGCAGCGGTGGCGACGGCAGCTGGGGCAGTTCGGAGCAGCTGCTCTTATGGGACGCGGGCCCAGAGGATGAGCGGTCAATCGGAAATAGCAGCCATCAGCATAATCAACTGTTTCCAAGGGGTGAAGTGGTAAGAGAAGAGGGAGTAGGAGGAGGCATCACAGGAATAGGATGGAATGTAAGCAATGCCACAGGGTCATGGCCCACCGATGATCCTTTCGAGGCGAACAACTACTGGGCCTTGTTGGCCCTCGTCCTGGTTCTGGGAACAGCGGCTGGCAACATCCTTGTCTGCCTGGCCATCGCCTGGGAGCGCCGATTGCAGAATGTGACCAACTACTTCCTCATGTCCCTGGCCATCACGGATCTGATGGTTGCTGTTCTGGTCATGCCGTTGGGCATCCTTACGCTGGTGAAAGGTGAGTCGATTCAGTGCACACTCTCAGCTTCATTCAAAGTCCTTAGCCAAGGAATTTTCTCCTTCGCTTCTATTGTTAACCCAAAAACGAAGAAAAAACTATCCCGGTCAGAGAGCGCTTCAGTAACTTTCAGTGGGGCTCTTGCTAATCTTGGCTGTGAAAGTTTTTTCTAGTGATTACATAATTTACTCTAATGAAAATTTGTCTTGGGGAAAAAATTGTGGAAAATTTAAATTAATTGCAATGTTGGCAAAAAAAAGGCGGGAAAAAAATGGATAATTGCATCATCATAAATTAGCTCGACCATTAAAAATTAGTTTGCTTAGGGTCCTAAAAATTGTGTTGACTTTATTTTATAATTTTCTAAGCATACGCCTTTTTAAACTTAAGAAATATCCTTTTTTGTCTTTAAATTATTAAAGCATTAGAAGATTAAATTGCTTTTTCTGTGTGAACCCGTCATGTGAAAGCGTGTAATATCTAAGCCAGTGCCGCGAACGTGAGACACAAGGACACACATTGCAGGACCTCGCTGTGCCGTGTCGCTGACACGGGTCGCATTTAATGAGGCTGCTGTTACTGCGGATGCTGGCGGGGCGATTGCATTATGTCTGAGATATTTCGATCAAAGCAAGGAAAACGTAAGCCAGGATAGAGAAATTGAATCGAGCAAGGAGCCGCGCGGCCTTAAGGAGACTGCGGGGGAGGACACCAGTCAGACAATTTAATAAGCGCGCCGCCTTTGTTGCCTAGATATGGTCGAGGTGCTGGCAGGGACAAGCCCCAAGAAACAATGCCAGAAAGATGCCAGCAACGGAAGTGTTGCAGCTTTGCCAGGCAGTGGAGCAAGTGCAGCATAAAAATTGCATTAGGAGCGCCAAACGAAATTCACTTTGACTTGGTCCTTCTGCCAGGGCAACATCTGCCATTGCAGGTTTTGTAGCCCAGATTCGTCCTGAAATAAAAAAAAAAACCCTAGATTTTCATAATACTCTTTTATTTAAGTTCTTCTCTTGAGAATTATAAGCAGAATATAATAAAATATATAACCTTTTTTCAAAAAAGCATTACCTATTCAAATAATAAAACTCCATAATAAGAAATTTAATTTCTGCAAATGTATGCTCCTTTTATAGCCAACCCAAGGTCCTGCAGAGCTGCAGGGATTTCAGTGCATTTCACCTGCAGCAGCAGGTGCGTTGTTGACAGTTTTGTTTGTGCGCTTTGGGAGCCATTACAAACGCAAACACAAATACAAACACAAACACCTTCTCCAACGCTTACAAAGGAGGCATCCTTCTTGGCAATGCCACTGTAAAAGTGAGCAACGAAAGGATACCAAATGGCTGCCTGTTATATCAAGTGTGAAAAGTATTTCATGCGGCACAGGCGGCGCAGACGGCGCTGGCACGTTTGCCAGGACGAAATCGGGATCTGGCTTCTGTCAAGAGCTTTTAGCAGATCCTGAAAGACGGATGCAGCCGAGTCTAAATCTCCAGCACAAGCCAGAGGCTTCAGATCCCAAGGATTAAGCACTCACAAAGCGAAAGCAACACTCTTCCTTTTAACAACCGTCGTTCTGACAGAAGTTCCTTGATATGAATAAGCCCTGCAGTATATTAATTGCATTGAATGTACGTACTTTTTACACTCTTTCAATAGCTGAGCTGTGTTTTTTGGCTTTTTATGGGTAAAATGAGGCAATTCGTCCCTCCCATGGCTTACAGGGCGTATACGTAATGTGTTGGTTGCGAGTAAAAGTAGTTTGTTATTTCAATTTAATGTGATTATTTTGCAATTATCTGAAAGTCAAAGTAAAAAGAGAACTCGCATTTGTTATGTATATTAAAAAGTGCCTTCAAACATAATATTTACATGTAATTAAAGCAATCAAAGGTGATGACATTAAAATAAAGTACCTTTAAGCTCGTAAATAAAATATTCTGGCTGGTAAATTGAAATGTTAAGCACTTGTTTGTACACAATTTTCTGCATTGCTGATAGCAAGAGTCCTTATATCGTTTTTTACCCTTGGCTGGTTAACCCAACGATAAATTTTAATGGGCGAAACTTTCCAATTGATAGGCCAATCGGTCGGCAACCACATGACTGACCACATTGCCAATTTAATTACAAGCTCGGGGACACACCTTCTCGGAGGTGGCCGATACAGTGTTTCGCAGTCGTGGGGCGAATGCGTGAATTATGATTACGTAATTACAATGTAATTAATGCATAATTAATTTCATTTTAAAATCTGCATAAAATGCCAGTTAATTAATAGCAGTAAACGCAATTACTGCATTGCTGCCATCAAAAGCCAGTAGAAAAGCCTGCGCGAATGAAAATTGAATTACAACATGCCCGTCAATGGCTGTGAATATTTAAGTGAGCTCGAAAGGAACGAAAAATGTTTGCGACTTAATAAATTATAACCGACGGGACGTCCAATGATAAATAAGAGGACAGCCGCAAATATAAAACAAAAATGTGAAAAAACACGAGAAGCCGGTCAAAAAGCCCTCCAGCAAAGAAGCAACAAAATTAATTGAGCGCAAATTGGTGAAGCTGCGATTTACATTACCAACGACACAACAACAAAAACGGCCAAAAAATACACAAAAATAAAAATAAATAAAAACCGAAATGGGAGGAGACACAGATATTTTACAGTGCAAAAAACTGTGATGGGGCGGCGGGGCAGAAAATGTTTAAAGTGGGACTCCAAATAGCTGGGATTAGGCGGGTTGGGGGAACCTAGACAGCGCGTGGCTTACCCCACGAAAATGTCCTGAAACAATGGCAGGAGGGTTGGGAACAAATTTATCATTCTACTGATGTTGTTGGTTTTTGTGCTGTTGTTGTCAAAAAGCATTTTAAGCGCTTAAGCTAGAGCATAAGCTGCGACACGCACAACAGAACACTGAGAGATAAACTTCAGTCATATATTGTAGATGTATGATTTCAGGGCATTGCGTTTTCTTAGAAATCTTAGATTGGCCAGTTTGATTTTAAAAGCCTTTCTCTCAGGGTTATTGATTTTTAAAGACTAGAATATTTCTCCAAGTGTCTTGAATTCTCGACACGAGGCAGTTTTTAGAAAACCCAATGTTTCTCCAAAGAGAAACCAGAGAACTTCATTGAAAAACATAAACCTTCAAAATTCCCTTTCATAAAATTAATTCACAAACTGTCATCAATTGAAGAAAATCAATTTTGATATTTTAATATTCAGCAAGCTGTCTAAATTATAATTTCTTTCTAGTCGAAGGAAAAAGGGCGGTATCAGGGAAGTATCACAGTCGAAAACAGAAATGGGAACGGTTCGTTTGGCAATCAGATTCGTTCATTTCATAGATAAACGAGCCGCAATGAGCCAATGCCAGAGTTAAAGCCAAAGTTGGATAAACTTTTTCCCCTCGGCGCCATGCCGGCCCATGCCTCATTTCGGCCAGGCCCAGACTCATGGCCCGTTAGTTGGCTTTATCATAAATCTTTAAGCTACCTGGGAAGCAGTGGGTGGGTGGAGACCGGGGCAGGATCAGAGGGCTGGGGAATTGACATGTCTACGCATAGCAAATGGCAGGCACAAAATGGCAGCTGTCGGCCGGCTCAGAGCAGCCAATTAATTTTTGGTCAGCTCCCCAGAAGACGCCATTTCTCTCACTTACACTTTTCGGCTAGGATCGGCTGCGTAATGAAGTCCTGGCCCTGGTTTTTGTGTTTAAAGCACCGTTATGGAGTGTGCCACGTAGGTGAACTGGGGCGTGGCTGAAGAACCCTTTTGGCAATCAGTGCGGAATTTGTTTTGTTTTTGCGGTCAGCCGGAGTTAAGAGCTTTTCCGGGTGCGGGGATGTAGGGTCTGGGGATATACGGATATGGGTGATGAAGGATGCGAAGGCAGGAGCAGGGCCGAGACCAGGAGCAGCTGTTTGACGCCCGCACATCCATCAAGTTGTCATGGAGAGGAGTCACCAACTCACATGCCAAATTCCAGTACAATATACACTGAGAATATAGTTTTTAAAAAAGCTAAGTGATATATTTTTATGACTTTAGAAAAACGTTAAATAGCTTTTATGGATTTCTTTAAAAGTTAAGTTCCTCAAGGTCATCCTGCTATTTTTCTTTCAGTGTTTGACCATCTATCCAGTAGCCTGAGCGTGTGTGTGCAGCTATGTGTGAAAAGTCAGGAGATCTCTCGCGTCGCTGCACTTTCCTGGGAAGGCTTTAGTTTTAGTTTCAGTTTCAGTCTCAGTTTTAGTCTCAGTTTTAGTTCCTCCTTTCGTTTTTCCGTTCAGGATCTTAAAGTCCTCGTCCTTTCGGCTGGCGCCATATGGACGCGAGTTCGCGGAGGACGAGTGGCGGCCGCCGACGCTCGCCTCTGCTCATTACTTATGCAAAGTCCTTTTTAGCTGTTAAGTGTTTTGTGTCTACTTACAAATGTAGCTGTAAATCAAGCGGAAGTCGTTTTGGTGGGGCCTGGCCCAAGGGGCGACTGAAGGAGGTGGGTCCCAGAAAAGGGCACAATTGACTGCACGGGTTGCGGAGGCATTAAATTTTTCATTTACTTTTTTTTTGTATTATGTGCGTTTACTATTTCCGTAGTTGGTGCGCACGAAAGTACAGGACTTTATGGGGTCACCCCGCCGAATGGCGGAACACTTTATAGGTCGGCAAGCATATATGGAAATCTTTCCTCAGAAAATTGATTATACTGCCTTGTGCCCGGATAAAGGGTTTGGTGAGTCCATTAGGGGTCTGAGCCAGCCCATTTGTTTCGATGATTTACATTTAGCTCCCTAAAGCCTCTAAAAAGGCAGGACTGAGGCTTGAATGCAGTAATAGTTTCTTCAACGGATATGGACACTTCAAAGGATATCGTTTAGGTGGGAAATATTTTAAACAACTTAAGGAATCTTTCAGCCTTTGTTTACTAAAAAAATAAATCAATATAGTCCTAAACTTAAACTTGACATTTATAAATATTTTATAAACC